GACCCCCCAGCACCCCCTATTCCACCACTGACCGCTGTCAGCCCGTCCCCAGTGGGGTGTCCTCCCCCAAGCCCACGTCGCCCAGAGGGTCGCCCATGTCTCTGCCCCACAGGACCCTCAGATGCCCCACAGAGACCCTCAGATCCCCCACAGTGCTCCGCCGGCCCGCTCACCCTGCGCGGCTGCGGCTGCCCCTGCCCGCTCCATTGGCGGCCGCTCGCTTCAGCGAAGCCCCCAGCCGACTGACCCACCCGCCGCCGCCAACCGCCGCGCCGCCCTCATTGGCCTCCGCCCTTCTTCAAATCGACCAATGGATAGCGCGAAAGCGCAGGCTCCGAACGGGGCTAGCGGGCGAGGAGATCTCTGATTGGCTAGAGGAGGGCAGGGGGGTGGGGACAACGCGTCTCTCCGGGAGCGCTACTCATTGCGGGGGGGAGGGGCAGGGGGGACGCGGCGACAGGGGCTGCCCCGGCAATTAGCCCGTTTCCATCAATTAGCTCACGTCAGGGCGGCGTGGCACGGCATAGCACAGTATGCCGCGCGATGCCACACAATGCCTTGCTATGTCATGTCGTGCCAGACCGTTTCCCACCGTGCCATGCCTTACCCAGCAGGGCCACACCATGTGGTGACGTGTCATGGCAGGACACACCAGGCCATAGAACCATAGAATGGTCCAGGCCAGAAGGGACAAAGCCCATCTAGTCCGACCTCCCCGCAGTCAGCAGGGACACCCCCAACTAGACCAGGTTGCCCAGGGCCTCATTGAGCCTCTCCTTGAGTATCTCCAGTGAAGGGGCCCAACCGCTTTCCTTGGCAACCTGTTCCAGTGTTCCACCACCCTCACAGTGAAGAACTTGTTCCTAAGATCCAATCTAAGGCTGCTCTTCTCCAGCTTCAAGCCATTGCCCCTCGTCCTGTCACTGCAGGCCTTTGGAAACAGGCTCTCCCCAGCCTTCCAGTAGCCCCACTTCGGGTACTGGAAGGCTGCTATTAGGTCTCCCCGGAGCCTCCTCTTCTCCAGGCTGAACAACCCCAGCTCCCTCAGCCTGTCCTCATAGCAGAGGGGCTCCAACCCCCTGAGCATTTTCGTGGCCCTCTCTGGACCTGCTCCATCAGGTCCATGTCCTTCCTGTATTGAGAGCTCCAGACCTGCACACAGTACTCCAGGTGAGGTCTCACCAGAGCAAAGTGGCAGAATCGCCTCTCTGTCGCAGCACAGCACACCATGCCACAGCGGGCTACGTGATGCTATGCCCCAGCAGGCCATGCTACACCAGGCCACGTCATACCTTAACCTAGTGGCCTTCTATGATAGAGAGACTATGACAGTAGATAAGGGACGACCTATGGATGTGATCTATTTGGACTTCTGTAAGGTCTTTGACATGGTCCCCCCACAACATCCTGCTCGCCAGACTGGAAGGATTTGATGGGTGGACTGTTCAGTTTGCAGATGACACCAAGGGACAGGATGTCATCCAGAGGGACCTGGACAGGCTGGAGATGGCCCAGGTGAACCTCATGAGGTTCAACAAGAGCAAGTGCAGGGTTCTGCACCTGGGCGGGAACAATCCTCAGTATCAATACAGACTAGGGGGTGAGGTATTAGAAAGCAGCCCTGAGGAATGGGACTTGGGGGTGCTGAGGGATGAGAAGCTGGACATGAGCAGGCAGTGGGCACTTGCAGCCCAGAAGCCCAACCCCGTCCTGGGCTGCATCAAGAGATGCGTTGCTAGCAGATCCAGAGAGGTGACATACCAGGCCATATTGTGCCGTGCCACACCACACCATGCCATGCTGCCCTATGCAAGGCCATGCCACACCACACAGCATGATGTCATGCCTTGCTAAAGCCCACCACACCACGCCCCAGGGGGATGCAGGTGACCCCCACCCATGAGATGTCCACCCCACAGATGGGCATGGGGTGGCCCCTTCGGTATGGGGTGGTCCCAGGGCTGGAGGGTCAACCCCTGCCCCCAGCTCTGCATCCAGGCCTGGAGACCTCCCCAAAAGCAGCTGAAACACCAGGATTTTCCCATCTACAAACCGCCCTTGCAACGTTTAACCCTGTGAGAGCAATGAGCTGAGCGATGCCATCCGGAGAAACCTTTTATTTCCTCCTCCATTACCAACAAATACCCCCATTCCCGATAACAAAATCACAGTATTTCCATTTAAAGGTATAAAAGTTAAAAGCAAGGGAGGGACACAATAAATAAATATAAAAACTCTGGGCAGACACCATAAATAAGTATAAATCAGGGTGACTCGGGCCCACGGGGCCCAGAGCTGCTATTTCACCTGAAATAGACGGAGGGACATGGGTCCCAGCTGTGGGGGAGAGGTTGTACTCGGTACATACGGCCTGAAAACCAGCAACTGCCAGTTGGGTTGGGTTGGGTTGGGCATGGGGGCTCCTCAGCGCCTGCTCAGCTCATAGGTGGCAATGTTGACCTGGTCAGGGTGGTTGGTGATGCCAACGGGCTGGCGTGGCTGCAGGGAGGTGCAGATGAACCAGCCGGGGAAGGCGGCTGACTCGAAGCGGGTGGTTCCCTCGGCCGGGCTGTCCAGGCGGTAGAAGATGAAGCGAGTCAGCTCTACACTCTCAATGTCCCTCCTGACATCCACTTCCTATAACCAAGGGGGTAAAAAAGGGGTTCAGGGTGGGATGGAGCCCTCAGCCCCATGGGGGATGGAGCTAGCAGGACCCACAACTCACCTCCAGCTGCAGCACAGGCTTGGCGCCGCTCATCACACATGACATGTAGAGTTGGTAGCCCTTGATGCCCAACGCCACTGGCACCTGCCCAGTCCCCAGGCCACCCTTCGATGACCGGGGACGGTACAGAGCAATGTTGAGCTTCACTGCAGAGAGAAGGGAAGGGTTAACGGGTAGTCCCAGGGCTGTTGGGTGGCTCCTGGGTGGTCCCAGGGTTGGGGATGGGGACATTGGGTCAGAACTGTGCCCCCTCACCTTTCCGCCCGGCAGAGGGTCCCTGCAGGTGCAGGGCCACCAGCTGGGTGGGTGACTCCAGCACGAAGCACTTCTGGTCGATGTCAAGGATGTCAAAGGACTGGGAGCGGGTGTAGCGGTAGACAGGTGCCCCAGCGGAGCTGCTGCTGACCCGCTGGAAGGAGATGGGCTCTGTGGGGAGGGAATGGTCAGGGGGATGCTGATGCACCTGGGTCCAAGAGCATCCCTCAAGAGCGTCCCCTGGTTGGGGTGCCACCCCCAACACCACCACCCCATACCAAAAATTTCATCCAGGAAGCCCCCAAGGTCACTGTCAGCAAAGTCCTTGTGCACCGGCCGCTTCAGGAGCTTGGTCACAGCCACCACGAGGATGGCGGCCTGGCGAAAGGTCCTGGCAGGGTGTCCCTTGGTCACTGTCACCTGGATGCCCACCCCGGGCAATGTCACCCCTGAGTCCAGGCGAGGTTTCTGGGGAGAGAAGGGAACATGGGGTGAGAGCCTGGCTTCCCCATCACGGCACTCCCAGGGCCATTCCCACTGCTCCAGCATTACCTTCTGCAGGCAGAGGCAGTCAGGGCCATAAAATGTCTCCTCGTTCAGGCTGGAAAGAAAAGTGAGATGGTGAAGCCAGGGCCACCATGGCACGAGAGCAGCATTGCATCCCCAGTGTTCCTGCCCAGCACAGCCACCCTTACCTGCCGCATTCCAGTGTGTCCAAATCAGGGACAAATGCCATCTCTGCTGCCGCTTGTGAAGACCCGGGCAGAGACTTGCTGGTACCTGTCGAGTGCTGCGGTGCGTGGCTGCCTGCTCCTGCCTGTCCTGCTGGCAGCGTCGCTCGAGTGCTCTGGGAGCCCAGCCTCAGCGCAGCTGTTTTTCAAGAGCTGCTGGAAGGAAACGCCGTCAGAGCGGGATTTCCACCTTTCGCAATGCCCGGATTTGCCCAGTTCCTCCATCGAAACTGGGAGGGCTGGGGGGCTGGCTGTCCCCAGGCAGTAATGGAGGGCTGAGCAAGGGGCCATGTGTGGGGCAGAGCAGGGGCAATGCTTTGGGGTTGGTGTGTGGAGTAGAGCAGGGGTGATGTTCCAGGCCCAGTGTGTGGGGCAGAGCAGGGGCAATGCTTTGGGGTCAATGCATGGGGCCAGTGCTCGTATGTCAGCCCTGAGTGGCTGTGCTGACCCAGCAGGGCCTGCCCCAGCCCCATCCCACCAGGGCTGCGATGACATCCACCCTCGTCAGCGCTGGGGTCTTGGCTGCCCCGGAAGGGGCTGGTGGTGCAAGCGCTGCTGTTTCCCCACAGCTTCCTCCTGCGTCGCCTGTGGCCCCTTCCATCACCCCTCCTGTCCCCCCTGCCCCAACACCCCCTCACTCCCCCCTGCCCACCTGCACCTCCCAGGAGAGCTGGATGGCTTTGGAGACACGACTCTTGGGGACACGGCCCCTGAGGGACACTCCTTGCCATCCCCCACCTGCAGCAGCCGCACACCCTGTGTCCATCGGGGGGGCCAGCGGTTGCGCCATGCCGGCTGGGCCAGGGATGTGCGTGGCCGGGCTTGCGTTGGCTGTGGGATGTCGGGGTGTTTTCCTGGCACCCGTTTCACTTCCTGAAACACCGCCTGGCTCCAGCCACCACTGTGACTCAGCCCCAGGAAACAGCCAGCACCCCAAAACTCCCTGAGGGGGGCCCTGTGCCCGGGGCGGCCTCTACCTGTCCCCCACGCAGGGGCGATGCCCACTGGCTGTCATCCATCCATGCTGGGATGTCCCCAAAGGCCTGAGGTCCCCTGGGCCATAGAGTCCATCATGCCAGGGGGTCTTCCACACCATGGTGAGGGTCCCCAGGGCGCAGTGGGGGTCCCCAAGCTGTGGTGCGGCAATATTGAGGTCCCTAAGCTGTGGCAAAAACTCCCCATGGTGGGGGTCCCCAGGCTGTGGTAGAGGTCTGTGGGCTCAGTGAAAGGTCACTCCCATAGTTAAGATTTACTTGCATCTGAAACAACAGTGTGTGCCAGTAGTGACCTTGAGAGCAGGGGAGGAGTGAGAAATACAAGTTTTGCATCCTGAAGCACATCCTGACAAAAAACAGAGCACAGTCTGGGAACCGAAACCTGTCTTGATAGTAGAATAATTGTTACTGTGATAAGCTCAGAAGAAAGTAAAAAAATATTTTTGTAAGTCCATGATTGGGCATTATGGAAGGAGTAGGTTTCTGTCTTAGTGTATAAAAGTCTCTCTGTGTAGCAATAAAGATGGTCGAATTGGATTTTTGGATTCGCTTACTGCATGACCTGCGAGTCCGTGATTTCTTCATACGCCACAGAGGTCCTCAAGCCATGGTGGAGGTCCCCAGGCACAAGAGGTGTCCCCAGGCAACTGTGGGGTACCCAGGCCATAGCAAGGTCCCCAAGCTGTGGGGGAAGTCCCCAGGCCACGGCAGAAGTCCTCAGGGCACAGCGGGTGTCCCCAAGCAACGGTGCAGTACCCAGGCCGCAGCAGAGCACCCAGGCTGTGGTGAGTGTCCCCAAGCAATGGTAGAGGTCCCCCGGCCGTTGGGGGTCCCATGGCGACCGCCCCGCCCCTCCCCCTGCTCCCGGCGCAGGCGCCTTGAGCCAAGGCTCGGCGGGGGGGCGTGGCGGCAGAGCGCGGGGGGCGTGGCGACGCGGTGACGCAGAGCGGGGCGGAGCGGGGCGGGCGCGGCAGGCCGGCGCTGGGCCGCTGTCAGAGCCGGACCAGGAGCGGGGCGGACGGAGAAGCCGGTGGGTACCGCGGCGGTGCCGCCGAGGACCGGGCGCCGAGGGCTGGGGGCCGAGGCCCGAGCCGGAGCTGGAGAATCGGGGGGGAGGTCCCGCTGGGCTGTTGGGGGGCGCGGCCGCTCCCCGGTGTCCTTGGCGCCGCCGCCCGGGCGCCCTAGGGCGGGGGGCGGGACGGCGGCTGGACGGGCAGCCCGGCGCAGCCAATGGGAAAGCGGCTGGGCGCTTGGCGGCGCTGCGATAGGCGGCGTGGGGGCGCGCGCTTGTGCGTGTGGGGCCGCGGCCCCCGCTCCCTCAGCCCTTACTCTGTGGTGAATCTTCTTGTTGTTCGACCTTTTGGTGAAATTCGGGCCAGGACCCGGTCGTGCGCTTCCCCCGGGCCCCTCCGCAGCTGTCGCCGGCTCCTCGAACCCCGGGTCACTCCACACCGGCGGGCCGGGCCCGCTCCCCGCTAGCGTGCGCTGGTGGGATTTACCTCAGGAAGAGCGCCCAGCCCGCCATGGCCTCCCGCGTCTGCGGGCAGCCAGCCCGCTCTGCCAGAGGCCCTTAGAGACCGGCTGGTTCTTCTCGTTTTGGGGCAAAGCTTGGCCTTAACTCCCCCTGTTTTCTAGAGGGGTCACCGGGACGCTGCTGAGGGCGGCACCGAAACCGGACACCGAAGCCGGAGGCGTGCCAACGCCTGGTCCCTAAAGCTTTTCTTCCTGCCCGTGCGCCGACATTTTCAGCCGGTCTCTGGAATATTTGTCTGTGTTTTGCTGCTTAACTCTGAGAAGGGTAAGCCGGGAAAACATCTTGTGCTGCCACGCTCACTGCCCTGCGCCTGCCTGCCATTTCTTGTCTGTTGGGCTGCGTGGCAGAAGCGAGCAAGCAGGGTAGGAAGCACGAGGGGTCTTCCCGCCTTCCGTCAGGTAAATCTGTACAACACTTTGGCTGACTTAGAGTGATCCCGGGTCTTCCTCAGGCTCTTTGGACCAAAATCTTGTGTTGTGAGGTGGGAAGCATAGCCACTGCTATGCCAAGTAGTCAGAATTAGATTCTGCAAGGCAAATCTGGAAGCAAGGCTGATGAAACACTGGTAACAAAGGTGTATCGTTGTCTGCAGTTCACTGTCAAACTTCATTTTAATCCAGTAAATGCACAATAGCTGCTTTGACATTGGGCTGCTGCTTGTTAATCTGGTCGGGGATATGGAAACCAGTCAGTTGGCTCCTCTCCAGCCTGAGGTCCCACTCTTGCGGAAGGAGCTGGGTGGAAAGGGCAGTTCCAAGAAGAGCTGGCTCCAAGTGCCAGTGCTTCCCCTGAGATGATCTTGCTCCAGCACTTTCCTGTGGCTGTCGGTTGGATGTGTGTAAGGAGGAGCGTGGTTAATCCCAGGCGACCCCACCAAGAGCTGTGAGGTGGAGGGTGCTGGGGGACCTTTGAAGGGGTCCCACGCCAGCTCAGGGTTGCTTTTCTGGGATCTCTGGGCAAGCCTCTCTGGGTCTTTCGACTGTGTTGGCCTTCTCGGATCTGAGCTTTTATGGAGAAGCAATGAAGTGGCCTGTCCTGGAGCCTACATCTCAAGTGCTTTGCACCACCATACCTCTACTTTGAGAGAGAGGTTTCTTCCCAGCTTTATCCTGGTGCATGTAACAAAAAGAAGTGAGAAGAAAACCTCAGCCAAGCAGAGTGGTCCCAGGTTGAGTAACGCAACAAACATTGAAGCCAAGACCTTCTACCTGGGAGAGAGAGCACGGAGAGAGCAAAAGCTTCCATGCTGGGTTAGCGTGATGAGAGCTGTCCTGTGGCTTGCACAGACCTGGAGGAGCTAGACTCAGTCAGCTTGATGTGAAGGAAAACGTGATATTCAGCATTAAAATCCGGCTGGTTACAAGTTTTTTCCAGCACCCTTCTGGGCGTGGTGCTTTAAAGTGCTTTTCTTCAAACTTGTACAATGTCCCTGCAGATGGGAGATGGAGGGGCTTAAGTGTCCAACTCCTGCTGGAATCTGAGTTTTATAGAGTATTTTCAGAGGAAGAATTAAAAGATCAAAAGAAATGAAAGAATACTACATAGATTTATTGTTGGAAAAGGGATAGATGTTGTTGGCTAGGAACGTACCTTATTTTGTACAAAGGTGCTGGATATAAAAAGATGTGGGTAGAATCATAGAATTGTAGATAGATGTGGGTAGAATCAAAGAATAGCTTTGATGTGCAGCCGCTTGTCTGATGCTGGTGTTGGGTACCCCACCAAGCAAATCTGCTTTTTATCAATGTGTCAGGGAAGATGAGGGTGCCATGCTGGCAGAAACAGAGGCGGCAGACCTGGCTGCGCCAAGTACCTTGAGCAAAAACTGCGTTTCCCAGGCGTTGGGGACTTGGCTGTGGGATGGGGTGGATGGACTTAGCCAAATTAAAAAACTGATCCTAAGTTCTGATCCTCAGTTCTCTGTCTTTGGGGTGCAGGAAGGTAGTCTCTGCTATGTATTCTCCTGCAATAATTTCTAACCCACTTTTCCTTTCTCTCCCAACAGGAATTTGTGTGAGGTGACAGGACAAACATGCTTAACTTAAGGACTTGTGCAGCAAAGCTGAGGCCGTTGACGGCCTCGCAGACTGTAAAGACAATTTCCCAACACAGGCTGGCGGCACGCAGGACGTTTCAACATATCAGGTGCTACAGTGCACCGGTGGCTGCCGAGCCTTTTTTAAGTGGGACTAGTTCAAACTATGTGGAGGAAATGTATTATGCTTGGCTGGAAAATCCCAAAAGTGTACATAAGGTAAGAAGCAAACTCACCAGGATATTGCCTTCGCTTCTCTCTGTGTGTGTCTGAGCAGTGGGTTCAGGTAAGTGCACGCGTCTCAAGGAGGATCAAATTCAGCTGGAGGGGCCAGATGGTTGTGGATGGTCCTTCTGCCTTGCTTCACCCAAAAGAAATGTCAGTGATTCCTTGAGCAAGAGCCAAGATGAGCTTCTCTGTTCAGAAGGGAACACCGTCAGCTTATGGAACGTGGGCAGCATCCTGGATCACAAGCGGATACAAGGAATGTCTTCTTCTGGGAATTCACCTTTAACGAGCTCCCAATGCTTTATTTATTTTCCAGCTGTGATGACTCCTCAGG